TTAACAACTGTATATTAGGTAACAATTCTTTATGTTAGATTATCTGTTTAAATCATTGGTATGTTTTCTGTGTCCTGGTTAGAGCTGACAAATACTACATTATGAGAGGATGTCATGGGCCATTATCCAATAATGATCTTAAATGGATGTCTCCTTTCAAATTTTAATTAGAAGTCCTTAACTCCTGTGGCATCGTAGTGAAAGACAGATGGGTAGAAAGAGAAGGCAGAGGCAGAGAGGCCAGAGGAAAGCCGTTGTATTAGAACATGAAAGGCACAGAGAGCCCATCTATCTGCTTTGGGCTTTAGTTCTCTCATTGGTAAATTGAGGAGAATCAACACAATGGTCTCAAATACACCCACATTTTTTACCTGTCATCATTCTAGAACCATTGAGTGTCTGTTATCTACACACTCATTCATGGAGGATGTGGGTCCTAATGTCCTTCCCAGTGGGCCTTGGCCATTGCTTATTTTTAAAAATGTAATAAAAAAATCCATCTGCTCGCCAGCTTTTGGAATGCCAGCCCTGGTATTGTAGCCACCTGTTAACTTCTATCGAGCAATCTATGGATTAATCTCACGTGTCAGATTTGGAATTCTTACTTGGGGAAAAACCAGTCTGATAGCTGTAATTCTTCTGGTTGAGTGTTCACAGACCTATCAAGAAAAATAATGCNGCGCATGTATGTGCATGTGTGTGATAAGTCGATTTGTAGAAAATATAATATATAAGCACACACATGCACGTGTGTGTGCATGTATTCATGTGGTGGGTATATAAATGCATAGAAAAGGAATATTGAGGGACAGATTTGCAAAGGGAGAGGAAAGGAGGAGCTTTAATTTTCTCTATGTATTTTTATTTTCATTCGTTTTTACAACAAAACTTTGTGGTTTTAAAACATATAGTTCTTTTTGAATAACTCAGTTTCCTAAGTAACTGCCTGACCATTGGGTGGCAGTGTTAATGGCCTCAAAGTTTTACATACAGAGTATATTAGTATAGTTGCAGTGACTTTCCCTTATCCACACCTCTAGACAAGCCCTTTCCTGAAGCTGTATGAGAAATGCATATACACTTGGATCAATGAAAATATTTCAGGTTTCATTTTCTCGTGACAGATTCTATTTTGTTCAATGTGATCCAACAAATGATGTGGCCTCAATATTCACAGAGGATATGAAATCACTATATCATCACCTGGTGTCAATGCATTCATTTTGCATCTGCGACATACCATGTTATATGATGCACAATGAATTTGAGCAAAAGTATGTGTGTTGCTGAGCTTGCCATTTCGTTAGTGATTTTTTTTTTTAGTGCTAAACTTTGTCAAGTGCTAATTATTTAAGATATGAGATAAAACGATGCTCATAAATTCAGAGCTGTTGAGGAAGGGCTATCTGTCATTCTCAGAATTTTATAGTACTTAGTAGCCCAATATAGTTTGATAGCTTTAATATCACTATTATGTCCTCTGTTAAAATCCCAGCAGTATTCAGGGGATAAGAGTTTAGTAGGTTTATGGAGGAAGAAATACTTGTTTAAGTGACTTTCATCATGCCACACTGCTTCAATGTTATTTTTCTTATCGTTCATGATTCCTTTTAAGCATTCCCTGGCAATGCTGAGAACCCGCATGGGAGTGCCACCAAATACAGCAGCATGGTAATAAAAGTCTCCCTCACCAATAGGTATATATGCTTCTGATACCTGGCTTCTCTCATAAGGTAGCTCTGTAGGATTTGCCTTATACCAATAAGAATGTAATTGAGCTACTGACTCGCCCAGGGTCTCCAACCCATATTTCTGTAAGAAGATCTGGTCAACATCCATGCAGAAGAGGAAGTCAACTTCATATTGGATGTGGCCCACAACATGTTCACTGATGGTCTTCATGCGCATCATGCTAACATCTTGCCATCTCTTCTCTCGCTTAATTTCAAAAACTTTGATTGTACGGAGGGGACTCAGCCTTATCCATGGCATCTTGGAAAAGTCATCTATCAGGACATAAATGATGACCTTCTGGCCAACCATAAAATATTTATCAGCAGATAACATAAAGCCGTACAAATAGTATTCAATATATCTGTGAAGCAAAAAAGAAGCGATTGAGTTCACGTTTTTCCATTTTAGTGGAACACAGAGTGTTTAAATGACACTGACTGTAGTTTATCCAAAACTGCTACTAAGCAACCGGATATTAGATATGCTTCTTGAGTTGTATTTAAGCAATATAGAAGAAAGTGGAATTATCTGCCTTTTCCTCTCCCTCATGGGGTTCTGTGGATCAGAGAGGAGAGGCCTTCCTCTCAAGAGTGAGTGAAACTTGGTGAGATCAGGAAACTGCCCAGAGCCCAGTGCAAAGTGAGAGCCGAAGTTTTCAGGGTTATCAGAGCAATGGGAACTTGTTTGNAAAAAAGCCTACATACTATATAATTCTTTTTATATAAAATTCTTAAATATGCAAAACATTTACACTATATAGTGCACATTTTTATGTTTTGGCTGCCCAGATCTTGAACACCCTTTACTTAGCATGAATCCTAAATTCAGGAGGCAACAGCATCCTCTGTCCAGTACGGAAGCTAAAACAGGCAAATTTCCTCTCCGTACCTCTTGTAGCTAAAATCTGGGCACATGACCTAAACTTCCTGGTATGTTAGTTAGTTCCCCTACCTGGGACTTTGAGCCTTAAGGAAGTCATTTTGAGATTATTTGTGATAGAGCCCAGGATTTAACATTATGGCAGATGTTTCTAAGAGTATGGAGGTTGGCAGGGAGATAATGAGTGATGGGGTCATGGCTGGTATTCAAACAGATCATACAGTAAGATTCTCTCTGTGCCTTTCCTCCCTTAGTCCCTTTATTTCTTTTTCAGCAGCAGTTTGCTAAGTACTGTGAACCGCTTCCTGCCATTCTGTAGTAAGCATTGCTACTATTCGCTACTCTCTAGTTCTCCCTTCCTTCCCAGGCAGATGGCAGACTCCACTTTCTAGCCCTTTTGCACAGGCCCAGGTCGGGGGCGGTGAGGGGGGTGCATGCAATAAGTCCAGGCTGAAGCACCGAAAAGCCCCTACGTGATTCTCTAATGTCCCTCTTCCCGTGACATTGTGACTAGCAGTACTACAGATGGCAGACCCTCCACTGTGAATGAGAAACTTTTGTGTGTTTCTCTTGAGGTGTGTTTCCCTTTAAGACTTGAGGATTTAATTTTCCTACCCAACATGCCATTCAATAAATTCTTTCTCTGTTTAGATGAATCGGAATCAGTTTCAATGTCTTGACAAATCCAAGTATTAGTACCAGAGAGAGGGGGTTGTGGGCAGGGAAATAGGGGGAACCTAGAATTTGTTATCAGGCTCTGTTTGGGGTTAAAGGAACAGAGATATATTTCTGGCAACCTGTGGAATACAGTGGTAAACGGTTGATTAAATGATCTCTGGGCTCCCATGAATGAGGTGCTCATCCAAAGCAAAAGCTTTGGGGCAATAATAGTTCCTGCCATAAAACTGTATGATGGTGATGATGATGATGACAACGACTGATATCACACTATGTGCCAGGCACTGTACTATACACATATATTAACCTATTTAATGAAATAAGGGACATAAAGATCCCAAGGACCAACTGGCATGTGAAATGGCTGTATCTAATGGCACTAGTGAGCTTAAAGAAAAAGCACAAAGCTGAAAACCTCCTTTGTGATTCCAGCTTCCATCAAATAGCTTCACCCTTCCTTCATGGCTGCACGGCATTCCATCTCTCACCCTTCGCCCTGGCTTTTGGCTTCTCATAACACCTCCTCCTCTCACTGTCCCTTCTACCTCCTTAGCAGCTCCATCGCCCGTGTAACTAATTCTCAAATTAAAATCCTTCATTTGAAATACCCAGATTTTTCTGAACGGGCCCTGATTGATAGGGTTCCTAGGACTATGAGTGCTCTGATATCAATTAGCTTTTGCTGTATAAAAACCCACTCTGGACCTTAATGATGTAAAGCAACAATGCTTTATTTTTGCTCCTGAGTTTGTGGGTCACTTGCCACTGATCTGGGCGAGGCTCACCTGATCTCAGCTTGGGGAGCACTTGTTTCACTACAGTGCTCTGGTTGATCGGTTGGAGCCTTGTGGGTCTATATTCACATACCTGGCTGTTGGGTAACAATCAGCTGGGGCAATGCAAACAGGGCAGATACAGAAAGGGGATAATAAGGTCCATTTTGCCAACTATCTACCAAAGGTCCTAAAAAACAGTCTCAAAATGGGATACCGGTATTGGGTTGCTCACCTGTTTTAGTTTGGACTAACGTGAAACTCCTTACAAGTATTGGGTTGTCGGAAAAGTCATGACATATTTTTTCTGTGTTTTTCGTTGTAAAAATGCGTCATGACTTCTCCGACAACCCAATAGAACCCTGTTCTACTTGTGGGCTACTAGAAATCTGTGGCACGTAGTTATATAATCACAGTTATTTAAATTATGTTATCACCTGTTATTGCTTGGTAGGAAGTGTCAATTGAAGGGAAGACTTTAAGACATTCCATAGCTGCTGTGGTCACCTTCATGGTTATAATGTGTACAAGGTCTATGGGGTGGGATTGATGCTTCTGACTGTTCTGGAGAGCTGACAGAAATAAAACAATGAATCTAAAAATTTAAACTCTCAACTCAAGGCATGAACACAGGACAAAGATGGTTCTTATAGTGCCATTTGTGTGTGTGTGTGTGTGTGTGTGCGTGTGCGAGCGTGTGCACGCGTGTGGTCACGAGGCATTCATGGCTGGGGATAAGGCCCCAAACCTAACTGGATGATATACATAATTAGAATGTACGTAAGTTGAATATACAACTTCTAGAAGTCACTTGTTTTAAAATTAAAGAATTGAGAAAGACTGGAAGCCTTATGTGTGGAGTAAGAAAATTCTATCATCTGGGGTTCCTGGACATGGTGACAGAAACTACTTTGTGTTTCACCTTTTGGGGAATAAACTGATTCTTTATTTGTACAAAAGTTAGTTGAATTCTGCAGTGTGGAAACATGGGGTCATTTTATGAGAGTTAGGTATGGGTAGGAGGGTGAGAATGGGAGCTTCGTGGCAAAATGGGTGGACTGCGGTAGCCATTTATCTGTTGACTCTCAGATCTCTCTCATTTTCCCAACACTTTGCTCAGTGTGGCAGAGGCTACATTTCCCAGACACCCTTGCATCTGACTGTTGTATAGCACCAGACAATGGAAAACACTGGCAGAAAAGAGCAGGATAGAAGAAGAAAACCATCTCTCTCTCTCTC